GTAAAGTGATCTAGCTAATAACGGAGTTATTGAATATTCATGTAGAAAAATTCGAAAATTCCGAATGAAAGTTGGTTAAAAAAAATTTAAAAAAATTAGCTGTTTGACCCAGTTTCTCTATTTGGGTCAGTTGTGAATTTAGTTCTTGAATTTAGGTTTGGTTTAATTTAGTTTGTAAATTTTTTAATCGACCAGTTTTTATGGGTTTCTGAATTTTTCATTTTTTTTGTCTATGCTTGGTAAACGGCATAAAATGCCATAAACTTTACTTTCCAATTTTTTGGTTTCTATGCTTCGTTAATGGCAGAAAATCTTTTTTGGGAGTCCTTTTTGGGAGTCTCTTTTGAGAGTCCTTTTTGGAAGTGATTTTGGGAGTCCTTTCTGGGAGTCCTATTTGAGTCTTTTTTGGGAGTCTTTTTTGGGGAGTCTTTTTTGGGGAGTCTTTTTTGGGGAGTCTTTTTTGGGGAGTCTTTTTTGGGAGTCCTTTTTGGGAGTCTTTTTTGGACTACTTTTTGGGAGTCCTCTTTGGGAGTCTTTTTTGGGGAGTCTTTTTTGGAAGTCTTTTTTGGGTGTCTTTTGGGAGTCCTTTTTGGGAGTCTTTTCTTGGAGTCTTTTTTGGGAGTCCTTTTTGGGAGTCTTTTTGGGAGTCCTTTTTGTGAATCCTTTCTGGGAGTCCTTTTTGGGAATCCTTTTTGGGAGTCCTTTTTGTGAGTCCTTTTTGGGAGTCCTTTTGTGAGTCCTTTGGGAGTCTTTTTGGGGAGTTTCTTTGGGAATCCTTTTTGGGAGTATTTTTTTGGGAGTCTTTTTTGGGAGTTCTTTTTGTGAGTCCTTTTTGGGAATCCTTTTTGGGAGTCCTTTTTGTGAGTCCTTTTTGGGAATCTTTTTTGGGAGTCCTTTTTGTGAGTCCTTTTTGGGAGTCCTATTTGGGAGTCTTTTTGGGGAGTTTTTTTGGGAATCCTTTTTGGGAGTCTTTTTTTGGGAGTCTTTTTTGGGAGTTCTTTTTGTGAGTCCTTTTTGGGAATCCTTTTTGGGAGTCCTTTTTGTGAGTCCTTTTTGGGAATCCTTTTTGGGAGTCCTTTTTGGGAGTCCTTTTTGTGAGTCCTTTTTGGGAGTCTTTTTTTGGGAATCCTTTTTGTGAGTCCTTTTTGTGAGTCCTTTTTGTGAGTCCTTTTTGGGAATCCTTTTTGTGAGTCCTTTTTGTGAGTCCTTTTTGGGAGTCCTTTTTGTGAGTCCTTTGGGAGTCTTTTTGGGGAGTTTCTTTGGGAATCCTTTTTGGGAGTATTTTTTTGGGAGTCTTTTTTGGGAGTTCTTTTTGTGAGTCCTTTTTGGGAATCCTTTTTGGGAGTCCTTTTTGTGAGTCCTTTTTGGGAATCTTTTTTGGGAGTCCTTTTTGTGAGTCCTTTTTGGGAGTCCTATTTGGGAGTCTTTTTGGGGAGTTTTTTTGGGAATCCTTTTTGGGAGTCTTTTTTTGGGAGTCTTTTTTTGGGAGTCCTTTTTGGGAATCCTTTTTGGGAGTCCTTTTTGGGAATCCTTTTTGGGAGTCCTTTTTGTGAGTCCTTTTTGGGAGTCCTTTTTGTGAGTCCTTTTTGGGAGTCTTTTTTGGGAATCCTTTTTGTGAGTCCTTTTTGTGAGTCCTTTTTGTGAGTCCTTTTTGGGAATCCTTTTTGTGAGTCCTTTTTGTGAGTCCTTTTTGGGAGTCCTTTTTGTGAGTCCTTTTTGGGAGTCCTTTTTGGGAATCCTTTTTGGGAGTCCTTTTTGTGAGTCTTTTTTGGGAGTCCTATTTGGGAGTCTTTTTGCGGAGTTTTTTTGGGAATCCTTTTTGGGAGTCTTTTTTTGGGAGTCTTTTTTGGGAGTTCTTTTTGTGAGTCCTTTTTGGGAATACTTTTTGGGAGTCCTTTTTGTGAGTCCTTTTTGGGAATCCTTTTTGTGAGTCCTTTTTGGTAATCCTTTTTGTGAGTCCTTTGGGAGTTCTTTTGCGGTATGTACACGAATCTTTCTACAAAAAATATTCAACCTGTTGATTGCTGATATGCGTGCGAATATTGAAGCCAAGTAAGACTTTTGCATAAGCGGAAGATTTTGTGACTAGATGAGCGTCATTTACGTTTTTTGTTTGGTGATTATTGGGATGAGATGGATATCCGCACACATATTCTAGGTTGGTTGTAGTGAAAGTGTCGACAAAAAGGGTACAAGTTTTCATTTTAATGACACATGCAGTTTCTCGAATGGTTTTGTAATTTATCTGCTTCTTCAATAGTTTAGGCTTCCAGTTTTGCAGAATTGATGTGTTTAAAACAACCCTGTTTTTAATGCTGTTTTTGATCGGACCAAGTTAAGCGTGAAAGGAAATGTCCTAGCATGGGCTGTTCCATATTTAAACTTGCGAGCGTAGTGTTATATGGTTACTGCGCAATTCTTCGAGAGAAGTCGCAGAGTTAATTGCAGTGTTATGCCAAGCTTATAGAAATATTAGTTTTATATACCCTTTGAACAGTGGCCTGCATAAGAATTTTTAGCATGGGGCGGTTTTTTGACAATTTTATTAGACTTTTTTTGCTTCTACCAGAACACTAATAAAACCGATTTTGCAAAATATTCTGACCAAACTTTGACCATAAACTGGCTTGCGATGTTAACAACATTTCTGCGCCGCTGACCAAACTTCGACCTAGAACGGGCTCGCTTTTTTGGCTTGCGATTGCTCTCAAATTTGTTCAATATTGGCTTCAAAGGCGAAGTCTAATGTCGGCCGGCCCAAAAAGGATATCGTAAAATAGTACCGAATATATACCCCATTGGAATTTAGGAATTTATCTGTAAGCTCTAGGCATAAGCGCTAATTTTGAAAGCGTTTATAATCAGTCTTAATTGAATTGAAGCGAGCTATTTGGTCCTAATAATTATCTCTTAAGCCTCAAGATATAATATTTAGTTTTATTACTGACAATTCAGCCAATTTCAAATACAGATATCTCAGCCAAAAAAAATTCAGACAATTCAGCCAAAGACCATTCGGAAAATTAAATTAAAAAGACTACATCAAAGGAAAAATTAAAATTTTCTTATTTGATTTAAGTCAGAAGGCTTTCAAAACTTTAACAATGAAATGTAAAACATCAAATAACAAATTTTAAAGATCAAAACAAGTTTGCTGTGCATAAAGTTTTAGGATTTATGTAATTGAAGGTACAAAGTTTTAACTACTTTTGTATATGGTCTCGTTTTATCTATTTTTTTTTGCATTCTGCACGAGTTTTTTTTATTGGCGATTGAATATTTGGGCTTCGATTCTCTGATGACATCACCGGTCATCAATCTCTCCACAAAAAATTACGCCATTTTTGCTCATCTTTGAAACGTGTGATGAGCTTGGTGAAGGCTGGGTGCTTCGTCGACACGGATTTATTGAAGCTGTCATTTCATGCCTCCAGTACATTATTTGTACGAGGTTCTCCGCTGAGCACCCGATTAAAAACGTTCCAATGTCAAACTATATAGGTGTCTTCAAAGCAGTCCGGTAGACTCTGAAATGCTTCCGATGGATTTTTTTTCGCAGCTCTTCAAATGCGAACGTTAAATCGTTGAGTGGTGAACCCTTTAACTGAAATCTTTTTTGACCGCCTGTAAAAATCTGTTTTTGGTCTGCTTTCATGTAAATTGTTGAATTTTTAAGCATTGTGCGGTTTTTTGTTGTTTGATTTTCATTTAGCCACAATTTATACAAGCATAGCTTGTGTTATAGTATGAACTCTATTTTTTCCAACCAAAGTTGCAAATATGTGTTCATTTTGAAAGTGTTCATTTTGATACAGCTATTAAGTACAGCCAATGCTATTGATTTTAACACAGACTATCATATTACAAATAGCACTTTAGCTTCAAGGTATCATGGATCTGTAGCGTAGAGAAAGAGAAGGAGACCAGCAACAAAATAAAAGGGTTCAAACCTGGGCAGGTTCGGATGTTTTTAATGAACTAGTTAAAATGCGTCCGCTCTATAAATTGAGGCATGTTAGATGGTAATTTTCTTTTTTTTTTTCAAATTGACTGGTACTTTTAATGCGTCATAATTGGCATGTGTCACTTAGCATATATATAGACTCATTTAGTTTTTCTCTGTAGCGTTATCGGGCATATTTTTGCTTATGTATGCGAAGTACAACTTCGCCTCTGTGTATAGGTCGCGATGGTTTGTTTTCAGGAAAAGTCCTATAAGTTTTCACCTTCAAGTTTAGTTTTTCGCAGTTTGACTTTTGATTTTGTGGAGTTCAATTTTTTCATATTGCTCTAAGGAATACAAATTATTTTCTACGAATGGAATTAATTATAAATCTCTAATTGAAGCTTTGATGTTTTACCGCATGTGAAAAATTTTTGCGCGAACGTTTTAAAACTTTAAAAATGCGCGCTATAGTCTTTGTCCGAATTGTCTCACTAATTTTCACTGAATTGTCTGAATTTGAAATTGGCTGAATTGTCTGAACGCGGTTAAAGGGTAGTCAAGGAAAAATTCAAAGCTTTGCCCTGGTACAAGCAGTCGTCGTTTTTTTCTTCAAAGTCACCATCTTTGAAGGCGTTTTCATGTAATATCCAGCAGGTTTCCTTGCCGTTTTTACGCAAAATCAAACACCTCAAAGGAGCCTTGATTATGGTATGATAATGAACCCTGCTTTTCTCCTTTATACGTCAGCATTTGTAATCGTTTGTATTTTAGAAAGATTGTCCTAATGCTGTCCTAATGCTTAGTATCTACAAAAGTGATCTAAAGTTTTTTTTTTGTTTTTTTTTTTGTTATTAATACTGAAGCTTTACGAAGAGCGGATGAAATTGAGTCTTTGTTTGCAGGAAGGATTATATCTAATACCTCGTTTTACCACGAATGAATGGCTCGTCAATTTTTTGAAAAGCATATTAAAATCTACTGAATAATCCTTTCGAATGTAATCAAATGAATACGGCCTTAACTACAGTGGACTATAATAATTTTTCCGTTTCAGGTTTGTTCATGCTGTTGGTCGAACGAATCTCGTGGATTCGGATTCGCTTCCCTGCTTTAGCTCTCGTTCTCAACCCTGTCAAGCTGCCGTTGTGAAAAGCTATTTTTTTCTCAGCCATATTAAAGGTACAACTGCTAAAAAAGCAATCGCAAACTGATCTTTGATCAAGAGAGGCGATATTGATTGGATGTACACACCTGTCTTTTCTTTGAATTGTGTTAGTGATATTACTGTCACGATAATTTTGCATTGCATTATTTTGTTATTAATCATCCGTTATAAATCCATTCTATTCTTCCCTCCTCTTTCCTGTCCGCGCGGTAATTTAATTTCTTTTTTTATTACTGAAGCTGAAAATAAAACAGAAAATTCAAAGCTTTGTTGAAATTTTCAAGGTGTATTTTGGCACTGAATCGAATTTAGAAATGGTGAGCTGCTGAATTTGTTATGCGTTGCTTTTATATTATATCCTTTCTGAATTCATTTTTTTCTGGAAATTTTTAGTGTGTCAATACCTAAAGTATTACGAGCTTTTTTCCCCTATTTCTCCGCCTGGAAAATAAAATCAATTTCCATGGGTAAACTAATTACTCCCGTTCACCCCTTGTAGATATCGTCGACTGTAGATTTTGTTCCATAAACCCCAGGGAGTTTAGTCCGTTATATAATATTATTGATTGGGTTCTTTCAACATTACCGTATGATATCTAGTGAAAGCCGTCTACACATTTAATTTAACCGGATATTTAGATTTTCCTAAAATGTCAGATTTGAATGTTTAGTGTCGAAGTTGCCATTTCGAAAATTGAAAACTGACAAATGAGTTCTTTCAACATGTTGAATAAATCGAAAATTATTATGACTCGATTTGCGACGAATCTTAAATCTACTTGAAGGAACAGTTTTGCAGTCAAAATCCTTTTGCCATATTTACCCAGTCTTCAAATCAAAACTAGACTTCGACATAGTACAATTGAACAAATTTGTTTGCTTCTGGATTTAATTTAATCAACTGTGTTCGACTACAATTTGTGAGTTACTTTAATCCAATTGTTACAAAAAAAGTTTGAGGTCAGAATCGAGAATACTCCGAGGTCACTTCGCAATCGGGAGAGATATTTTCTCGTACAAGTTACCATTTTTGGTAGGTTATGTTATTCATCGTTGCCCAAAAATATCGACACTCGCAAATCTGAACATAAATAATTCATTATTTCAAACACGATTAGAGTTCAAAAACTACAATTTGAAGCTCTTCTGTTGATAAAATATTTCGTTTTCTTCGACGAATTGGAATTTTGTCTTGTTCTCAGTGTTTAAATTCACTGTTACTGATTCAAGATCGCAAGCCCGAAGAAAAAAGCGATGAGTAAAAAGTTCACGTTGATCGTGGAACCCCTGGCGGGCAAGAGTGCCCCAATGTTCTACAAGGAAGATGGGACCAGATTCCCCAACAAGCACACTGTGAAACTGAAAGTAGCCACAGAATACTGTCTCAGAGTGACACTCACACCGCCACTGTCGCTAGAGTAAGTCTTGCTAATGTCTTTCGGGCTCAGGTGAACAACCACCCCCCCCCCCCCCCCCCGCCACCCTAAATTGTCCTTAACCAAGTGAACGATCTGATCTCCCACGTGGCGCAAATTTCACTTTACAGTTGTTGTTTTTTGTCGTTTTCTTGCTTTTGTTTGCGAAGCGCAGCTTTGCCTCTGTTTTGGTTGGTAGTAGAACGTCGTGTGAGGTATTACAAACTCTTCCAAACTTAGATTGTCCATCAAAAAACGTATTAATCAAATTGACCCAGTAAAATGCAAAATAATAATGAAGTGAACACTGAAATGAGAGTGTAAGATCTAAGTGTAAAAAATGAGATGTTGTGTTGTCTGTATTTAAAAGATTCAAGCAGCAGATTTTTGAGAATCTGAATCACAACTGAAAGGAATTAAGTATGCCGCTATATTTGATAATGATCAAACATTCTGTAAAACAGAGGCGGATGTATGATTTTCTCGAGAGGGATTTTCAAAAATTTTGTCGACCTTTTTTTAGGTCGATTAAATTAATTTCCGAACTCTCCTAAAGCACTAAAAAGACCTTGTTTTAGCAAAATTTTGGAAAACTCGTGTTTTATCGGCGCCCTTTTCCCCTCAGACTTATTAAATGTAGAAACATTTTTGGTATCTCAAAATAAGACAAAAGGGGGACTGTATGGTGGTCATTCGATTGTCTAAGTACTATTTTCAGCAAGATTTTGTCTGTTCAGTTTTACTCATGGACCAGGCAAATGTCCTCCGCCAAAAGATTTTTGAATAGTCTTTGATATATAATTTTGCCCCAGGATGTCTCTGTATGTCTTAGCATTGTAAGGCAAAAGACATTTCACCGAGCCATAGTTCTCCGAATGCTATGAGCCAGCCACCAATACATCAGCGAAAACCATGAGTCGTGTTTGCAGTAAAGCTGACTTCGTCTGAGAACATGAGTCTGTAGAAAGCTTCATTTGTTTCGTCCAAAATCGGCATTATTGTCGGAAGACACAGTTCTTCTCACAATAATTTAGCTTCAGAGCAGCCAATCTGCTCGGAATTTTGTTTCTTTCAAGTATGAGCCTGTCTGTTCTAACAGAATTTGTTTTTGGAGCTAATGCATTTGAGTTTCGACTGCAGCAATTTAATTGTCTGTTTTTTTTTGTCTCCTTTCTTTCTTTTTATTAAGAAAATCTTTCTACTTTCCTGCTAACTTTGGTCTTTTGTCCACATCTAGATAGTCCGCCGAAAATAGAATCTTTCAGATAAGATATGTAAACACTGCATATTGTCTGCATGCGCAATTTCAGCGTTTTGACAACTTTTTAGAAGCTCCAACCTTGTTGTCGTAGTGCAAAGGTTTTTTGTTTTGTTCTATAGTTAACGTCTTTTGTTTAGCCTTTCCTGGAAAAACTGAACAAAAGCTGCAAAAGTGCGTAAAAACGTGAAAACAAATAACATCGAAATTTACCGGACACTTTTTGAGTACATGGAAAACAAGTGAAATTATCATCGACTTTATACAAGAAGATCCCTTATAAGTTCGAAAAAGTAGACTAATGAAACGTTTTGACGCAGTTTTCTCTAATTGGGCTGGGTTCTTGAAACTAAATTAAAGTTTCCACACTAGCGAGCTTGCGAGCGAGCGTTTGAGTATCAGTAGGAACCTTCAATTTTCTAATCTTACTCGCAAATAAAAGTGTTGGCTGATATGGAATTTTCACTGTACCATTTGAAATTGCATAGCATCTGTTCTCTGCTTTATTTGTGGCTAGTGTTTGTCATAATTCAGCGCCCGTGGCTGAGTTCGTGAGACCCATATTCTCTGGGTTGCTGTAGGTCGTAGATTTGAATCAGAGTTGTAGACGATTTTATTAAAATCGAGGCTTATTTCTACTTTTTCCTTTTGCACTTTATAGAGCTGTTTTTTGTCGTGTTCTCGCTAGTTGTTGCGAAGTGTAGCTGCGTCCCTGAGTAAAATGATGTATAAGTACATATCAAATTTTGGTTGATTACGAAGTTTGTGGGACAGATTACACTGAGTATTTCAAGAAACATACCACGAGCAGCTCGTGCTGCAATCCCTTTCAATTTGCGTTAAATGTACTTCAAGCTTTGGAACTTAATCAGCTCTTCACTAATGTGTTTTTTCTCCGATGTACCTATGATAAATAGATTACGTTAAAGTCGAATTTCAAATGCAGTTTCTTAAAAAATCTCTCAAAATTTTTTTGTGTTCATTAGTAAATTATTTCATATAGTGAACTATCGGTAAGTATGATTTTTATGATCATCACAGCATAGGGATAGTGTGCCTATACTTTTATAACATCCTTATTTTCCAAGTATTACTGTTGTTTTATATTTTTGCTTGATAATTCTTCCTGAAAATGATACAGTCCCGGGACGTAGAAGTTAGAACTTGAAGTTTTCAAGCAATGGAATGAACGATTTTTTTTAATATTAGCCGTTTTTCTACAACTAATAGATGCAGGGCTGAAATTCTGACATCTGATGGATTAAATTGTTTATTACAATATAGACGGATAAGAATTCGTACAAAGTTGTTATCAAGGCGTCGTTCGGTTATTTAATCAGAGGGGGTCAGAGACGTGTTGTTAGTGTCGAAAAATCCGCGTGAGCAGCCAAACCAGTTTGAAATTTTAGACTTATATTTGTTGGAAAGCTACAGATCTAATCTATGCCCTCGTATATGTTTCTTTTTTTAAAAAAAAGAACACAAAAAAACTACTCAGCTACTTCTGTCTATGAGCCTAACAAAAATTTTATAATTCTTTTTTATGTGAAGGGGTACCGATATTAGGGCCTAGTTTATATCTTTAGCTTTCCAACGAATAGCTTTACTTCCAAAAAATACAAACTGCTCCTTCCGCTGTTTACGGAAACTTTTTGGCACTAGGAATACCTCTTTGACTCCCTCTGATTAAATGGCCAAACAGCGCTCTGAAAACAACTTTTTACAGTTTTTTTTATCGGGCTTAAGTTTGATAAACAATTTTTTCCATCAGATGTCAAAATTTCAACTGTGAATCACTGGTAGTTGTAGAAAAAGCAGCAGAAACGTGAAAAAAATTTTGTTCCCCTGATCGCTCGAAAATGAAAAGTGGTCTCCTTTTTCCCTCTTTCCCGTGACTGTACATTAATACGGCTCGCCGGATATTTATGAAACAAACTGCGGCGGTTTCGTGTTTTACTGCCAAAATGTATAATCGAAATGTACGATTTAATTTCGTGCATTTTTTCTGTTCTTGTAAATGGGAACTGCATTCGAAATTTGAGCATGAAAAAAATTGGAGTTCTTAACTACTGACACTGCCAAAACATTTCAAAAATTTGTTCATTCCTTTTTCTCTGACCGTCCCTTAACTGATTATGACGTCATTTGCGTGAACTTGATTAACGTGTTGTGTTTTGCGTGCAGTGTGATGAATGTGCTGCTGGACGAAGATGCGACGTCCACTAATAGTGCCAGTATTTTGTGTGGCTGTGCGGCTACTGAGATATCCAGGGACCAGCAGAAGGCAGTCTATATCCTCAACTGGACAATCCAGCCGGAAACCATTCCAGTGTCCAGCAAAAACAGCAGGGAGACACTCGTGCTCGCATTCCCGGTATGTTAACTTTTAAAAATTTCGTAACTATTTCACCTTAAGATTATTTGCTAAGTGTCAATGAACGTAGTGAAGACACTTTTAAAGGTCGTGATGATTTTTTTGTCTCAAAAAGATCACGCTTGAATTAGATTTTTTGCTGTTTGATTTTTGATTTGTTTTCAGTTCATTTAAGTTCAATTCAAATGCAATTGCTACAAAAAACGGAAAATTACGCTTCTATAGCATTTAACAAATTTATCGGACAATGCCTTAAATTTCTGAAATAATCTGACCTTGAGACAGGCAAAAACGGCGTCAAAGCTGCAATCGAATTTTCAAAACTGCATTCGAACTGACAAAAGAGCAATGCTAAAGATCACAATTGAAAGTTTTATTTTCATTCAGCAACGATTTGCCAAGTAATTTTTCAGAGCAAAAAAAACACATAATATGCCGACAAAAAAAGCAAACGCGAAACTTCAAAGAGGTGTTTCGATTTAGTTCAAACTTGAATGTCAGAATAGTTTCAGAAATTTAATACGTTGTCAGATAAGTTTGTTAAAAGCTATACTTACGAATGTGCAAATGGCGCGCAAAAACACGAACGACTTCAAGGTTCGAAAATTGATATTAATTTAATGATTTCCCAGCGGAATAAAAAATATCTTTTGCTCCAAGTTTCAAGAAAAAGTCAATCACTGTTGGCTCAGTAGTGTTCTCTGAGTTGGCTCCCCTCTGTTCTACTGGTTCTGCAAATTTCCCCCAGTAACCCTTTTTAGGAATATTCTATGACAGCCAGCTCTTTTTGATCCACCTTAGAAAGTTTCGGGAGCTTCTGGTTCTTCTGTCAAGGCAAGGGATCAATTTTAGGCTTCTTTCTCGGATAAGTTTCGATGCTCAGCTGCGAAGTGTTTTCTCGAGGAAAATGTTAGACGATCTCGGAAATTAAGGAGTCTTCAGTTTGATTGATAAATCAGGAGTGTCTGGTTTTCCTGAACAATAGAGAAGAGATCATTTAATTTTTTAAAATAATTTACTATCGTCATGTATCAGGAAAACAAGTCATTTCTGATTTATCACCGTGGCTGTACATATTTCTCAATGTCAGATGTCGTCTCATTGGCCCATGTTATCAATCTCCTCCCTTATCACCCATGAGTGAACGATGATGATGATGATTACGATGATGATGATAAAAGATCAAGTGAACTATCTCCCGCCTAAACGTAAATGGCAAATCAAGTTGTAAGGCTTGCATGTACTATGCTCAAATCTGATTGGCTAAAAAATATTACTTTTAACCCAGTGAACAATCTTCCCCTAAATTGAATGTAGGGAGAGATTGTTCACTTGGTCCATCTCAAACCCCCACCCCCCGAAATCTAGAAATGCTTAATTATTAATTTTAAAAAATGATTAAAATAAAGAAAAAAATAAGGGTTGAATTTGTTTTAGATGAATCTAGGCGAGGTGAGAGTGAAACTGCAGTGCAAAGTTTATGGGGAGAAAAGTAAGAAGCACCAAGGAGGCAGACGCCTCAACTCCCTGGAGCAGCAGTTCTCCATAAACGAACAAAGCCTATTAGACTTCTCGCCCGCCAACTTCCTCCTCACGTGACCTTTACAAAGGGTCACCAACAAAGCAGACGAGGTCAAATTCTTAGGAGGGTCAAGGTCAAAGAAACGAGCGGTGAAAACCAATGAATGAGTTGTTGGTCGAATATAGAAACCTTATCGTTGGTTGAGTTCATTAGGTTCAGTTATATACAAGTAACAAAAACCGTCTACTTTTTGTTCAAGCTTTATTCCACAAGAGCCTTTACGTCTAGAAAAATACCTCTATCTTTTACACATGCAGAAAGTGAAAAGAAAGGAAGCTTCTTGAAAACCGAAGAAACAATCTGTTGTAAACAGAATAAATTTAAAAACTCAACCCACGATTCTGCGATTTTTATCTGTCTCTTGCTGTTTTAATTTGCGATTAAATAAAACTGAAACTGCCACTAATTCAACTTCGATGTATATCGACCTATATCAGTCATTTATTTGTGCGATAGATTATAAATCTAGTCAGTTCAGCACTGGAGTTAGACTCGGTGATTTTACATGTTCATTGCCAGACTTCATTTTTTGTTTAATTTAATAGACGTTGAATGTTAATTCAAATTTGTTTTCTGCACTCGGTCTCAACTGCCTCACAAAAGCCCAAAAGGGGTAGATTTTAGTATCATATGTGTTTTGGTATCGTATGCATGTCAAGTCGTAATTCCGATTCTTCAATATTGATTGAGTAAGCTCTCGCCTTTTTGAGAAAATTGGTTGATGAACAGCAGGAGTAATGCAATCGGGTACTAGACTTTTTTCCCTGTAAATAGCTTTGTTCACAGAATGGTCGAAAATAGAAGTGGTCAAATTTTGGTTCAGTTCATAATGAATTCAATTTTTTTTTGCGTCTCCGGCACACTCGGTCTGGAACTATCGAATACGCCTGGAACGGCAAAGGTTTTGACCCGTTTTTTGCTTTCAAACCGGAAATGTTTAATTTCAAAAAAAAATTTGTCTCATTATTATTTATTATTATGTTTATTATTTATTTGCTTATGTTTTGTCGGCTTAGTTGCCACATCGTAGAATTGTTTTGTTTTCGTGCTGTACGCAAGTTACATTGTAGTTGCTCTTAGTGTTTTTCTATTTTTTCTGCTATTTGTATTTTTACGGCCTTGATATTTTCTTTTTTTTTGTTTTCATTTTCACTAAAAACTTTAGTCTGCCCAAATGATTTTGGGCTTATATTTTATAGACTTAATGATCTAACTTTGAGTAGATTCAAGGGAAACACATTTTTAATGCTCCCCTCTGGATCGCACAAAGTGCTTACAATCTTAACAGAATTTATCGTTTTTTATGACGAGTTTTTTGGCTTTGTTATTCTTTTCATCTGTTTTGTTCCACTTGATTGGTTTCGGCCTAAATAAAATCGGCTTAATGGTCTTATAATGCGTCTTTCGACGAGCGAAAAAAGTGTGTTGCTCGTGTGTGTGTTTTGAATGTGAAGAGGAATTAGTCTTAAGTTTTATAGGTTATAATATTTTTTAATTTCAAAAAAAAATTCGACTAATAAAAAAAAATTTCGACTGATAATTTTCGGCATATATTACATTGGCTAAGTGACCTCATACCATTTAAATTGACAGAAATTGAAATGTGTGCGTGTGTGCTTTGAAGGTGATTGAGACTAACTAACTTTTTAAGTCTTAAGTCTTGTTGATTTTCTTTCGGCTTAATTGGTTTGTGCTAAGGTATTTTCGGTTTTGTTACCGCTTGGTAAATTTCTTTCGATGCTTACTTCACATTTTATTGTCTTGGCATGCTTTTGTTTCAAAATTAGGCTTATCTTTTTTGATAGATCTAGTTTTTGGACGTTTTCGGTTTGCCGACTTAGCGGCTTTCCTTGTTTTGTATCGCAAGTGGTGCGAAGCTCAGCTTCGCCTCGGTGTTTAAAATTTACAGCTGAATGAAAAAGTATCTATCCATTCAGTTTTCCGAAATTACACTGATTTTTGGAAAAGCGTGTTAATCAAAGGAGATTTTTGAAATGCAAAAGAAAGGCTTTTTATTTAGTGTCAATTAACGTAAAAGAACGGCCTTATAGGTCGTGTTGATTTTTTTCAGGAAAAAGTCCGAAAAGTTGTTCAGTTCAATAATTTAATATTGCTGAAAGGAAGGCAACATCCGCTCTCCAATTACGAAAGAACAAAATCTTTGCTCTGAACACTAAAGTAACCTATTTTTTGCAATGGAATTTTGAGTGATTTGCCATATTCCAGTGATATTTGAGGGTCGCTGAACAGGGCAAATTCTCCCTTGGTAGCTTTTTTTTCAGTGCAAGTCTCACGATGTTTGATATGTTTTAACTACTAAATTCATATGATTTTCATAGGCTAGTTTGAGTTCTAATCGAAATGGCTCTCGAATAAGGACCGAGAACAGCCATATCAAAAATTTGTTAGTCCCATTTTATTTCTTTGTTTACTGGGTCAGCGGTGCCGCCTTAAAACCAGCCTTGAACCAGCCGGGCGACTATAGTCGCCGCTAAAAGTACCAGTACAATCATCCCGTTTTGGGAGCGCAGACAGCTCTTTCTTGCTTCAGAACTTGAAATGAAATATTCGGCTGAGAAATAAGTAGTTTTTAGCTTGATTTGTTTGATCAAAAACAGCAAAACTCTCGAATTGAACAACTTGCGTTAAAAATACGAGCCTCTGAAATCTAAAAGGTATAATTTCAACATCCACGAAAATTTTTTACTTTGTTTTGAAACCAAACCGTTGCATTTGAAACAGTGAAATTTGTTAATGTTATGATATTATACCGTATGAGTATTATATTTTTTTTAAAGGTGGAATTGGCTACCTGTGTTTTCAGAAAATCGTCAGTTCTAGCGGAATATTTTTTATTTCAGATCGTGAGTGAAAATATTTTAAACAAATTGATCTAAATCAGCTATTGTAATTCAAAGCAACCGAAAAAAACAAGCTTGATTGTTATTCAATACAGCTCATTCACGCGCGAAAAAAAAACAAATAACCAACAAAAAACAATGACTGACACTGGAAACGGAGACAACGCCACTACTCAAAAGTCAAACGATTACGTCACTTTGAAGGTGTTGAAGGACGGCGCGGGCGAGGTGCACTTCCGGGTGAAAATGACGACCAAAATGTCAAAGCTCAAGTCCAACTTCTGTGACCGTCAAGGACTCAACATGGCAAGTGTGAGATTTACGTTTGAAGGTCAACGAATTGAAGATGACATGACCCCAGCCGACCTTGACCTCCAAGATGATGACTTGATTGAAGTTTTCAGCGAACAGACGGGAGGCTTCTTCAAATTGTGAAAAATGAAACGATCGATCTTACCAGCTCTTCACGCAATACATGTCATACCAACTGACTATTTGACATAACTTTGGATAAGCACGTTTTCGCTATAATCATGGAACTGATGAATGATTGGCATCAATAATGTTACAACAGTAGTTATGCGTATACGATGATTTCTCTCTAGATTCATGTTTTGTCCTAAATTAACAAAAGGATGCTCTTTTTAAATTTGTCTAGTCTTAAAGTTAAACGTTAAGTCGAATTAAATACCTTCGAATGTTAGTAAGTTCATGTTTGGTTAATCTTGTTTAATTCGACTATACCTGCCATACGAAAATAGCTAGCTGTTCCGATTGTGTTTATGTTAATTGACCTGACGTCGTCATTTGTTGCAGTTTACTGTTAATCTAACTTGATGGAATTTTAAGTTTGGTTTTTCTTTTTTAAGAATAGCAGCATTATCTAGAGGCTCAGAGTACCGTAGCTGGTTAAATCAGAAATTTTTTTGTTCCGATCCATTTTTTCGGACACTTTTTGTTCCGACCTTTGAAAATTGGAAGGAACTTCGTCTTCGAAAGTGTTTTTTTTTTATTTCCACGCTAAGTCAGGTACCACAAATAATCAACGAAATGGCTCGAGTAATATATCATCGTTAATCCCTTTTCAGTCGTGAATCGCGCATCTAAATTTAAAAAAAAAATTTCTCAATGTTGAAAAAAACTGGTTAGAAGGGTTTGATTTTTGGTCTAACTTTGACCGAATAAAATAAGCGAGCAGGCTTATTTTGTTTTTCAAACAAAATCAATTAATAAAAATAATCAATCAAATGGGTGGAGTGATATATCAAATAAAAGCACATTTTTCCTGTGTCGAGAAAAAAAAACATTTTTGAATTTAAGTCTAATTTCGAACGAGTAAAGCGAGGGAGTAGGACTAACGAAGGAAATTCTGTCATTTAAATAGTAAAATAATCTTAGTTTTACTGAAGAAAAACTGGTTTTGGAGGCTTCATTTAGCGCTTCCTTGGCAATAAAAGTTTTGTTTTTTGTTAATTTTTTTGTTAAAGAAATTTTTTTGTTAATTATTTTTTGAAGACAACTTGTCGATGAGACCTATTTTACTAATTGTCTACGCGTTCTATTAGTCCTCACAACGCACCAAAAAAGTATTTCAATTTTAAACAAAATATTTTATTTTTTCTATGAATGCTTGTAGTAATATTCCATGCTATTTGCACAGAAACCAGCTATGGAAATGATTTATTTTGGAAATGATTTGAAGCCCCACGAAAATCATGTTTTCATAACAACGCCTAACTGTTTTGACCACTGGATAACGTTTTTCCAGCGCGCGATCCTCTCAAATTTGATGCAAAATGGCACCCTTTAGAAAAGTTATAGGGTGATCGTTAATATCTGGTCATTAAGTTAATAATACCAAAAAAGCACCATAATCTCACTTACAGGGTACGAAAAACGAGAACGAAACTCAGACTCGGATCGGAATGTGATCACGCTTAAGATAAATAGAGGGCAAAGATAGATAGAAACAACTGCAGATGAAGATATTCACCTTGCGAGCTAATGAAGCGATTATCAGTACCTCAAATGTCGTAAACAGGTACTGAAAATGCAGAATCACTGCCCATTGAAACATGCATGACCATCAGCAGCCTGTCAAGAAGAAGAGACTGGAGGCTCTCATGACCCAAATATTTCAATTCAAAATCGCTCCTAATCGGGTCCGGAATTTTCTTCTGACAAATTCTTATAAGGTCTGTTTGTTAACTATTTACTAGTGATTGGAGTAGCTCAGTGCTCTCTCAAAGGGAGAGGCACGTAAGAGGGACACTTTGATTAGCGAGAGTGTCGAATTCGTGAGGGAAAAAGCGTACTCCCCATGGAGAACATGATGGAGAATATTATTTTACCTTGCTAACAATATTAGATTATCGGAGCATAATCAAAATGTCGGTTGTAGCAAATCCATTTTTTATGCAAATTAACAAGGGGACCAGCTAAAGCTGGAGTAATCTAATTGTTACGCTTGCGATTAGCAAGCGTTATCAAACTGGAAAATGGATTTTTTTCGGGTTAAAAACTTGTTTAATAGAATCACTTGTATCTTGGTTTCAAACTTCTATGCGTTTCCAGCCAACTTAGCCTGGAGGTAACGAATATGCCTGGGACGGCAAAGTTCCTGGGTTTGAATCTGACTAGGACCTGTTTTTTTCCTTGAAACTCCCGACATTTTCTCTTAAATACACTTAAAGCTTGTGTGATATTACGAACTCACTTTTTTCCATGTTTTTAATGAACTTTTTCGTATACTTATTAAAATGCGTCCGCTCTATAAATTGAGGCATGTTAGTTGGTATTTTTTTTCAAATTGACTGGTACTGCTATTGCGTCATAATTGGCTTGCGTCACTTAGCAATTATGTAGACTCATAATTGGCGTGCGTCACTTAAGAATTTTTGTCGACTCAAAATTTTACACATTCAGTTTCTCCCAGTAGCGTTATCGGTCATATTTTTGCTTGTGTATGCGAAGTGCAACTTCGCCTTAGTGGTAAATTCTATTTTCAAAATTAGAAGCTGATCACAATTTTCGTGACCATGACACTTTCGATGTTCGATAGTGAAGTTTGCCTTCCTTCTAACAAATATTTGATCTGAACTTGAAAATAAATCAAAAGTCAAATGGAGAAAATATAAATATGACCGTGATTACATTTTAAGACTTTTCCTGGAAAAAACATCACGATCTATATAACAGGTTGAACTAGGTTCATCGACTTCTAACAAAATTTCATTTATTGACTTTTAAAGATTTTTTTTGCATTGAGTAAAATTGTCAAAATTATGTTGCTGAAATAGTTCGAATTGGCAGGGGGCTGTTTTACGGTTGCATGCAATCAATCAAAACTGATCATTTTGTTCAGTTGTATCAAAAACTGGCCGATTTTACACTTTTTCAGTGAAACAACAAAGACTTTTTTGACATTAAACTTTTTTTGAAAAGGCTTGATTTAATCCTGTAGCATAGAAATTAAACTTACGAAACTTTGAACATTGTATTAGTTAGGATTTATCTTTTGGTTTCTTTTGTTGTCTTAAAAATTTCAATTTGTCTCTAATATCTTAAAGACAAAATCAACCTTCATCGTTTTTTGTATTTGTAGCTGTTGGCTACTTCGCCGTGAGCCTTTACTATATTCAACTGATGCAATAGTTGACTCAATAGGCCATAATTCAGATTAGGGTAACCTCCTCCGCCGTTTCCATTTCCCCCACCGTCCCCGCTGCCGCCGCTGTCACCCGATGGGTCATCATCGTCGTCATCAGAACCCGAAGAACCTCCACTGTCCGGAGGTGAAATATTATTACCTCCTGATGGAATTAAATCTGGCTCAACTGTAGATGTAAGTGTAGTTGTCGGAATCTTAACAACTGGAGGACAGTAGGGTCCATCCGCGATCCCCTCGTCCTCAATTGGACACTGGTCCTGCTGGAGAGTCAAATTTTCTCTAATAATAGGCGCGGGAACATCCATAGGTTTCTGCCAGTAACAATCGTTGATCGGCATGTCATCTGGTTTTATGAGTTCTCTTCTGCAGACTTTATCAGTTCGTTCTTGGGTTTTGTTCATACCAAACTGATGCATTAGACATATCTCACAGATGAACAAATTGTTGTGGGCCTGATAGAATTCCTCACATTGGCCACTCCACCACAATTCTCTAGCCCAATCCTCTTCGAAGCTGAAGAGCTCACCCTTGCCACAACCGTAGAATTTTGAGTCAACGTGGTCATACCTGTAGGACCCGATGGCCATAGCTCTGAATAAAGTCTTAGTGGAAAGTGAGCCATACTCGATGACCTCTAGAGTGTCAGGAAGGCATAGAAGCGAGACATGTCCTGCATCAGTGATGTCCATTTAAACGGAGAATATATTTTAATTTAATCTTTTGTCTGAGTTACAACTTTTGAAATAAAAAACCTGAGCAAAGAAATTTTTTAAATTTAGTTGTATTAATAAATTAAATGGAAAACAATTGAATTTACACAACTGAAATAAGTCATTTTTTTGTTTGCAAAAGCTATTACTTACATTTTATGGATTTTGTGGGGTTCTTCTTGTTACATTTTTTGCATTTTTTGTGGGTCTGGTCATGTTTTTGTCCAAAAAAAATTTGAAAAAAAAATCAAAATTATCAAAATGAACAATTTTTTGTTTGCAAGCAATTAGTTTTTAAGCAGTTTATTTAGTTTAAGTGACTTTTTATATTCTATAGAAAGTGTTGACTTATATTTATCTCAATGAATATCACTGTCCTGCGTAGAACAGAGGTTCTTTTGGGAGCCTTTTGGGCTCATCTCGAACGTTGGCGATTTTAATGGCGACGTCTTTCCGGTAAAATGGGAGGTAATAGTCTGAGGATATAATCCAAGGGTAAGAGTATTGCTCTCCTTCAGCAAGCAGAGGCAACCATTCAATTACTAGAACAAACAAATTGTATTTTTAACTTTTCCTAACAAATACATTTCCTATATCCAAAATTTTGATGTATAAATGAGCTTTTCTCAAAATTAAACGTTCATTACTCTTAATTCATTATTCAAGAAAAAAATAAGGGGGGATGAAAATTGATTATGTTTATAGCTTGATCAAATGGTTTTTTGTCTGTTAGAAAATTGAGGAAAATCGCAAGATAAGAGCTGAAGTTCAACATTTTAATTGCATACTGACTGACATAACAGAATGACATAACTCAGTAGCGTTAAGCTAAACGCAGTGTTTACCTTAAAAGCTAACGGGTTCTATACATTTCCAAACTGTGGTTGGTTGAACACGTAAAAAAGTTTCATACGTTCAAAACGCTTCTAAATCCTTTTTCAACAGAAAATGTTTATTCATTGTTCTACATCTGTTTTTTTTTCAGTTACATTGGATCGTCAGATTACATTTCTTTTCCCCGACAGTTTGTGAAATAATTTTCATTCTTTCTATTAGAAGCGCGAGTTTTATGTAACAAGTTTTGAGCTTCCAAAGTAAACAATTCTATGGCGGCTTACCTGTTTGAAGTTATTATTGCCCTGAGTTACTTTTTAAATGCCCGCCGAAAATACGATTGTGCTTTTTGGAATCAGGACTGGCCTGTTTTGAGAACAGAATGATTTGAAATAATTTAGAAACACTTAATGTCAACCCTGGTTACGAAAAGCACAAACCGAGTCGTAGGCATACATATACGACAATGGCTACCAAATTGATAACAAGACTGCTCGTATCAGGGCGAAGCTCTGAATGTTCCGACTACTTTTATATGTTTATGGAGCAGTAATAACATTTAAAAAATTTAATGAAATGGAACAAAATGAAATTTTTTTTTCTAAAATTTGAAATTTTTATTGAAAATCATCACCCCACACGCCAT